GTGATGCGCTGAACTCCATGTTCTGGCTGGTAGGGGCCCCAGTGCATTCATTTGCCCAGGGCCCAGTGATGCGCTGAACTCCATGGTCTGGTTGGTAGGGGCCCCAGTGCATTCATTTGCCCAGGGCCCAGTGATGCGCTGAACTCCATGGTCTGGTTGGTAGGGGCCCCAGTGCATTCATTTGCCCAGGGCCCAGTGATGCGCTGAACTCCATGGTCTGGTTGGTAGGGGCCCCAGTGCATTCATTTGCCCAGGGCCCAGTGATGCGCTGAACTCCATGGTCTGGTTCATTTTTTCATTCTAAGATTGGTACCAGTGTCAGGGATTTTATTTTTTGGTTGGCTGAGGCAGAGTGTAGTTCTCCTTTAATTCCGCCAAAAGCGCAGTCACACATCTGTTGGTACATTAGAAGCCACATTTCTTCCTCTAATGAAGCCGGGATCCCCCCATACTGAGTTCTCCTGATCCCCCCTGGAATGTGCCCCCCTGACCCCAGTATTGTGCCCCTCTGACCCCAGTATTGTGCCCCCCTGACCCCAGTATTGTGCCCCCTTTACCCCAGTATTGTGCCCTCCTGATCCCAGTATTGTGCCCTCCTGATCCTAGTATTGTGCCCTCCTGATCCCAGTATTGTACCCTCCTGATCCCAGTATTGTGCCCTCCTGACTCCAGTATTGTGCCCTCCTGATCCCAGTATTGTGCCTTCCTGATCCCAGTATTGTGCCCTCCTGATCCCAGTCCCAGTATTGTGCCCTCCTGACTCCAGTATTGTGCCCTCCTGATCCCAGTATTGTGCCCTCCTGATCCCAGTATTGTGCCCTCCTGATCCCAGTATTGTGCCCTCCTGACTCCAGTATTGTGCCCTCCTGATCCCAGTATTGTGCCCTCCTGATCCCAGTATTGTGCCCTCCTGATCCCAGTGTTGTGCCTTCCTGATCCCAGTATTGTGCCCTCCTGATCCCAGTATTGTGCCCTCCTGACTCCAGTATTGTGCCCTCCTGATCCCAGTATTGTGCCCTCCTGATCCCTGTACTGTGCCCCCCCCCGATCCCTACGTAATGAACCCTCCTGATATCCGCATACTGAGTCCTCCTGATCCCCCCTGTACTGTGCCCCCCTGACCCCAGTATTGTGCCCTCCTGATCCCAGTATTGTGCCCTCCTGATCCCAGTATTGTGCCCTCCTGATCCCAGTATTGTGCCCCCCCTGACCCCAGTATTGTGCCCTCCTGATCCCAGTATTGTGCCCTCCTGATCCCAGTATTGTGCCCCCCCTGACCCCAATATTGTGCCCTCCTGATCCCAGTATTGTGCCCCCCCAGACCCCAGTATTGTGCCCTCCTGATCCCAGTATTGTACCCTTCTGATCCCCCTGTACTGAGCCCTCCTGATCTCAGTATTGTGCCCTCCTGATCCTCCTGTATTACGCCCCCCTGATCCTAGTATTGTGCCCTCCTGATCCCAGTATTGTGCCCTCCTGATTCCAGTATTGTGCCCTCCTGATCCCCCTGTACTGTGTCCCCCTGATCCCAGTATTGTGCCCTCCTGATCCCCCTGTACTGTGCCCCCCCAATCCCTGCGTAATGAACCCTACTGATCCCCCCATACAGAGCCCTTCTGCCACCCCCCCCCCCCCGGACTGTGCCCTTTGTGCTAATATCTGTTTAGTTCTATCAGCTATTGATTTACTTCTTGAGAGCCGGCGTGTTAATTGGGGCAGGCTGGTAGGGGCCCCAGTGCATTCGTTTGCCCAGGGCCCAGTGATGCGCTGAACTCCATGGTCTGGCTGGTAGGGGCCCCAGTGCATTAATTTGCCCAGGGCCCAGTGATGCGCTGAACTCCATGGTCTGGCTGGTAGGGGCCCCAGTGCATTCATTCGCCCAGGGCCCAGTGATGCGCTGAACTCCATGGTCTGGCTGGTAGGGGCCCCAGTGCATTCGTTTGCCCAGGGCCCAGTGATGCGCTGAACTCCATGGTCTGGCTGGTAGGGGCCCCAGTGCATTCGTTTGCCCAGGGCCCAGTGATGCGCTGAACTCCATGGTCTGGCTGGTAGGGGCCCCAGTGCTTTCATTTGCCCAGGGCCCAGTGATGCGCTGAACTCCATGGTCTGGCTGGTAGAGGCCCCAGTGCATTCATTCGCCCAGGGCCCAGTGATGCGCTGAACTCCATGGTCTGGTTGGTAGGGGCCCCAGTGCATTCATTCGCCCCAGGGCCCAGTGATGCGCTGAACTCCATGGTCTGGCTGGTAGGGGCCCCAGTGCATTCATTCGCCTAGGGCCCAGTGATGCGCTGAACTCCATGGTCTGGCTGGTAGGGGCCCCAGTGCATTCGTTTGCCCAGGGCCCAGTGATGCGCTGAACTCCATGGTCTGGCTGGTAGGGGCCCCAGTGCTTTCATTTGCCCAGGGCCCAGTGATGCGCTGAACTCCATGGTCTGGCTGGTAGAGGCCCCAGTGCATTTCATTCGCCCAGGGCCCAGTGATGCGCTGAACTCCATGGTCTGGTTGGTAGGGGCCCCAGTGCATTCATTTGCCCAGGGCCCAGTGATGCGCTGAACTCCATGGTCTGGTTCATTTTTTCATTCTAAGATTGGTACAAGTGTCAGGGATTTGATTTTCGGTTGGCTGAGGCAGAGTGTAGTTCTCCTTTAATTCCGCCAAAAGCGCAGTCACACATCTGTTGGTACATTAGAAGCCACATTTCTTCCTCTAATGAAGCCGGGATGTGTATACTGAGTTCTCCTGATCCCCCCTGGAATGGCCCCCCTGACCCCAGTATTGTGCCCCCTGACCCCAGTATTGTGCCCCCCTGATCCCAGTATTGTGCCCCCTTTACCCCAGTATTGTGCCCTCCTGATGGATCCTAGTATTGTGCCCTCCTGATCCCAGTATTGTGCCCTCCTGATCCCAGTATTGTGCCTTCCTGATCCCAGTATTGTGCCCTCCTGATCCCAGTATTGTGCCCCCCCTGACCCCAGTATTGTGCCCCCCTGACCCCAGTATTGTGCCCCCTTTACCCCAGTATTGTGCCCTCCTGATCCCAGTATTGTGCCCTCCTGATCCTAGTATTGTGCCCTCCTGATCCCAGTATTGTACCCTCCTGATCCCAGTATTGTGCCCTCCTGATCCCAGTATTGTGCCCTCCTGATCCCAGTGTTGTGCCCTCCTGATCCCAGTATTGTGCCCTCCTGATCCCTGTACTGTGCCCCCCACCCCGATCCCTACGTAATGAACCCTCCTGATATCCGCATACTGAGTCCTCCTGATCCCCCCTGTACTGTGCCCCCCTGACCCCCAGTATTGTGCCTCCTGATCCCAGTATTGTGCCCTCCTGATCCCAGTATTGTGCCCCCCTGACCCCAATATTGTGCCCTCCTGATCCCAGTATTGTGCCCCCCCAGACCCCAGTGTGCCCTCCTGATCCCAGTATTGTACCCTTCAGATCCCCCTGTACTGGGCCCTCCCCTAGTATTGTACCCTCCTGATCCCCAGTATTGTGCCCTCCTGATTCCAGTATTGGGAAGCCCTCCTGATCCCAGTAGGGCCCCTGTGTATTGCCTGATCCCCCTGTACTGTGTCCCCCTGATCCCAGTATTGTGCCCTCCTGATCCCCCTGTACTGTGCCCCCCCAATCCCTGCGTAATGAACCCTACTGATCCCCCCCCCAGAGCCCTTCTGCCACAGGGCCCCCCCCCCTGGACTGGCTGCCCTTTGTGTGCTAATATCTGGCTTAGAGGGCTATCAGCTATTGATTTACTTCTTGAGGCCGGTAGGGGCCCCAGTGCTTTCATTTGCCCAGGGCCCAGTGATGCGCTGAACTCCATGGTCTGGCTGGTAGAGGCCCCAGTGCATTCATTCGCCCAGGGCCCAGTGATGCGCTGAACTCCATGGTCTGGTTGGTAGGGGCCCCAGTGCATTCATTTGCCCAGGGCCCAGTGATGCGCTGAACTCCATGGTCTGGTTCATTTTTTCATTCTAAGATTGGTACAAGTGTCAGGGATTTGATTTTCGGTTGGCTGAGGCAGAGTGTAGTTCTCCTTTAATTCCGCCAAAAGCGCAGTCACACATCTGTTGGTACATTAGAAGCCACATTTCTTCCTCTAATGACGCCGGATGTGTATAATGTGTTCACACTTCGGCTTTGCTGTATACGGTATAAAGAAATGGCATAATTAGGTCATGAATAATGATAAAAAATAGACTGCAATTATCATCCAAATCCCCGAAAAAAGAAACCGCTCCAACTTTTTTCTTATTATGCTGTTTTTTTTTTTTTTTTTTTTTTCTGTAGAGCTGGTGAGTCTCTCACAGAAAGTGCTAAAATCCAGTGCAGGAGCGTGGCGTTCCTGATCCACAATGCGCAGCACCTGTGCGCTTGGCTCCAGGATTATGCAGATGATCGAATTAAAATTCAGCGCCGCCTAATAATCACCAGAAATCCATCGAATGTCTTCTTTATGGGGATGCACAAGAGAGGGCAGTGTAGCTCTGCCGGAAACCTCCGTGTATCTGTGCGCAGACCATGGGCTCCTCAGACGGATCTCCTCTGTCACCGTCGTTCAAGGTGTTCCGAACTGAGACGCCAATATAGTGTTTGATGGCGTTCCTCGCCGTTCAGGCACAGTACGGTCCTTGATGTAAAATGATGGAATGTGTAAATTGGGATGTATCCTGGCAGCGCTCTGTGGCTCAGATTGATCGAGCTGCAACTGCACTTCAGATTTATAAAGCAGCCGTTCTCAGCCTTCTTACCCCTGAATTATATTATGGGGAGTCAGTGGGAAGAATGTCCCTTACATTGGGGGTCAGTGGGAAGAATGTCCCTTACATTGGGGGTCAGAGGAAAGAATGTCCCTTATATTGGGGGTCAGTGGGAAGAATGTCCCTTACATTGGGGGTCAGAGGGAAGAATGTCCCTTATATTGGGGGTCAGTGGGAAGAATGTCCCTTACATTGGGGGTCAGTGGGAAGAATGTCCCTTACATTGGGGGTCAGAGGGAAGAATGTCCCTTACATTGGGGGTCAGTGGGAAGAACGTCCCTTACATTGGGGGTCAGTGGGAAGAATGTCCCTTACATTGGGGGGTCAGTGGGAAGAATGTCCATTACATTGGGGGTCAGTGGGAAGAATGCCCCTTACATTGGTGGTCAGGGGGAAGAATGTCCCTTACATTGGGGGTCAGTGGGAAGAATGTCCCTTACATTGGGGGTCAGTGGGAAGAATGTCCATTACATTGGGGGTCAGTGGGAAGAATGCCCTTACATTAGTGGTAGTGGGAAGAATGTTCCTTACATTGGGGGGTCAGTGGGAAGAATGTCCCTTACATTGGGGTGTCAGTGGGAAGAATGTCCCTTACATTGGGGGTCAGTGGGAAGAATGTCCCTTACATTGGGGGGTCAGTGGGAAGAATGTCCCTTACATTGGGGGTCAGTGGGAAGAATGTCCATTACATTGGGGGTCAGTGGGAAGAATGTCCCTTACATTGGGGGTCAGTGGGAAGAATGTCCCTTACATTGGAGGTCAGTGGGAAGAATGTCCCTTACATTGGTGGTCAGGGGGAAGAATGTCCCTTACATTGGGGGTCAGTGGGAAGAATGTCCCTTACATTGGTGGTCAGTGGGAAGAATGTCCCTTACATTGGGGGTCAGTGGGAAGAATGTCCCTTACATTGGGGATCAGTGGGAAGAATGTCCCTTACATTGGGGGTCAGTGGGAAGAATGTCCCTTACATTGGTGGTTAGTGGGAAGAATGTCCCTTACATTGGGGGTCAGTGGGAAGAATGTCCCTTACATTGGTGGTTAGTGGGAAGAATGTCCCTTACATTGGGGGTCAGTGGGAAGAATGTCCCTTACATTGGGGGTCAGTGGGAAGAATGTCCCTTACATTGGGGTCAGTGGGAAGAATGTCCATTACATTGGGGGTCAGTGGGAAGAATGCTCCTTACATTGGGGGTCAGTGAAAAGAATGTCCCTTACATTGGGGATCAGTGGGAAGAATGTCCCTTACATTGGGGGTCAGTGGGAAGAATGTCCCTTACATTGGTGGTCAGTGGGAAGAATGTCCCTTACATTGGGGTCAGTGGGAAGAATGTCCCTTACATTGGGGGTCAGTGGGAAGAATGTCCATTACATTGTGGGTCAGTGGGAAGAATGCTCCTTACATTGGGGGTCAGTGGGAAGAATGTCCATTACATTGGGGGTCAGTGGGAAGAATGCCCCTTACATTAGTGGTCAGTGGGAAGAATGTCCCTTACATTGGAGGTCAGTGGGAAGAATGTCCCTTACATTGGGGGTCAGTGGGAAGAATGTCCCTTACATTGGGGGGTCAGTGGGAAGAATGCCCCTTACATTGGTGGTCAATGGGAAGAATGTCCCTTACATTGGTGATCAGTGGAAAGAATGTCCCTTACATTAGGGGTCAGTGGGAAGAATGTCCCTTACATTGGTGGTCAGTGGGAAGAATGTCCCTTACATTGGGGGTCAGTGGGAAGAATGTCCCTTACATTGGTGGTCAGTGGAAAGAATGTCCCTTACATTGGGGGTCAGTGGGAAGAATGTCCCTTACATTGGGGGTCAGTGGGAAGAATGTCCCTTACATTGGTGGTCAGTGGGAAGAATGTCCCTTACATTGGGGGTCAGTGGGAAGAATGTCCATTACATTGGGGGTCAGTGGGAAGAATGCCCCTTACATTAGTGGTCAGTGGGAAGAATGTCCCTTACATTGGGGGTCAGTGGGAAGAATGTCCCTTACATTGGGGGTCAGTGGGAAGAATGTCCCTTACATTGGTGGTCAGTGAGAAGAATGTCCCTTACATTTGGGGTCAGTGGGAAGAATGCCCCTTACATTAGTGGTCAGTGGGAAGAATGTCCCTTACATTGGAGGTCAGTGGGAAGAATGCCCCTTACATTGGGGGTCAGTGGGAAGAATGTCCCTTACATTGGGGGTCAGTGGGAAGAATGTCCCTTACATTGGTGGTCAGTGGGGAAGAATGTCCCTTACATTGGGGGTCAGTGGGAAGAATGTCCCTTACATTGGAGGTCAGTGGGAAGAATGTCCCTTACATTGGGGGTCAGTGGGAAGAATGTCCCCTTACATTGGGGGTCAGTGGGAAGAATGTCCCTTACATTGGGGGTCAGTGATGAATATCCCTTACATTGGGGGTCAGTGGGAAGAATGTCCCTTACATTGGGGGTCAGTGGGAAGAATGTCCCCTTACATTGGAGGTCAGTGGGAAGAATGTCCCTTACATTGGAGGTCAGTGGGAAGAATGTCCCCTTACATTGGGGGTCAGTGGGAAGAATGTGAAACTGAAAAAAAGTGAACTGACCTTCAGTCTGAAATGGATTAGGTGATACACACTGCAACTGTACTGTATCCATACAGGAGTTGCTACCCTATCACAGGTACGCTAGGACTACAGAACCCCACCCCCCTTAGCTCCATAACATAGGGGGTAGGTGATCTGCCATTCTCTGAGGTAAACTGGGCAGGGGCAATTCTGGAGACTCCAGGGCAGCAGAGGCAGAGTGCACAGGACGTTACAGGTTCTCTGGATTTCTGGCAGGATCAGAGAGCATTTTTTGCATTTATCAAACAGACAACAAAACACTTTCAATGTCACATTTACCAGAAATAAGAGAAGTTCATTCTTCAGGTTTACATACATTGTACTGATGGCATCTCTGCCTTTACTTTGGTCACTGAGGGGTTAAGGGCAGAGCTCACCAGCGGGATGGCCTTTAGAAATCCATAATCTGCAGCCCGACTAATTACATTCTAAGATATTAATTTGTCTCCTGAGTTTTTGCTGATCTTGTAAAGCCTCTGATGTAAAAAGAAGCCAAGACTGAACGCATCTTCGCCTTTGTTATTTATTGCAAGCTGCACATAAACAGCACAGTATGGATAGGATTCTTCGGAAGGGTACAGAAAATTACACAGGGGAAAAAAAATGCCTAATTATTACCCAGAGACCTCTACTGCAAGGAACAAAGAATCCAAGCTGCGGTGGAACTCCTGCCACAGTAGCCTATGCAGCCGCTATGGGGTTAGAAGCAAAGGGGAGATCCAGTTGAGACCAGGAGGTGTGAGTTGGCCATCTGGTTCCAGTCCTTCCCTGCCTTTGCTGCCCTGCCTGTTTGCTCTGCCACTGGGGATGGGATCTTCTCCCAAAGGCTGCCATGTTGTAGGAGAAGAATTTTGCCGGCACCAGAGATTGGAGGTCCTACCTTTCTCTGGAGGCCACTGACACCAATGAAGATGGCTGGGTGGGGTGGGACTTATGCTCACCTGAGCTGTGGGGTCTAAGCACTAACCAGTATTCACCAGAGCTCTTGATGTTGGAGGTGGGTTTGCTGAGTGGTAGTACCTGATGGTGGTCCTCAGGATAGCCCCACCAGGAAGTGAGCAGGCCGGGGTCCAGTAGCAGATATAGCAGGTAGGGACCAAGCAGAAGCATAGTCAGTAAACAAGTCAAAGTGGTTGCAGGTTGGGATCAAGTGGAAATGTAGTTGGGGAACAAGCCAAAGGTTGTTAACGAATGGTTGCAGAATGGGATTGAGCGGAAGCGTAGACGAGGAACAAGCCAAAGTTCGGTAACAAGTGGTTGCAGGTTGGGATCAAGTAGAAGTGTAGTCAAGGAACAAGCTAAAGATCATTAATGAATGGTTGGGGGTTGGGATCGAGTGGAAGCACAATCGAGGAAAAAGCCACGGTCAGTAAAGAAAAGTAATGAAGATACAGATGGCAGCAGGAGAGAGAAGAGTTAGATATAGGGTTGCCACCTCATCCCTTTAAACCCAAACACATATTAATTGCACAAGTTCTGAGGTTGATTAAGGTGGAAATTTAACTAACTGAGTGCCTTATTTGCATGAAATTAGCCTCAGAACCCGTGTAATTAATGTGTTTGGGTTTAAAGGGATGAGGTGGCAACCCTAGTATGATATTGGCTTGGTGCAATAATCTAGCAAACAAGTACAAAGGCATGGCTTGAATAGGAAGTTCACGTGAGGAGCAAGGATTTGCAGCCTTGGCCGTGGCTTAGCAAGAAGAGCCACTGGTGGATGCAGCAGAGGTCATGGGTTCGGATCCTGGTCCTCACAGTACACCATAAAGACATGGGGTTTGATTTACCAAAGGAAAATAGACTATGCAGTTGCTTCAGAGCTTAGTAATGAGGTAAAGCTTCGCTTTGCAAAGAATACCCAATCACATGCTGGGAAATTTTAAAAAACAGCATTTTTGGTTGCACATGATTGGATGATGGAAGTCAGCAGAGCTTCTGCTCATGTACTAAGCTCTAGAGCAGGGATCTCCAAACTATGGCCCTCCAGGTGTTGAGGAACTGCAAGCCCCATGAGGCCTTGCAAGACTCTGACAGCCACAGGCAAGACTCCCAGAGGCAGAGGCATGATGGGACTTGTAGTACTTCAACAGCTGGAGGGCCATAGTTCGGACACCCCTGCCTTAAGGGAACCAATGGACATTGGAACAATGCTCCAAAAATTGCTGGAAGCCACAGGAGGAGGACAAATGGGGATTAAAGTGGCCGGTTGCTATCACCAGGGACTACAGGTTTCGGGGTATACCCCTTCTTCAGGTCACCTGTGAAGCCACTGCCTCTCGGGTGGGCAATTCAGGTACATTCAGTAAACAGCCAATGGTCTTGTATACAGAAACTTTAAATAGAATGACCAACTACACTTGCTATTTGCATTTAGTAAATCAACCCCATGGTTTGGTGGGTTTGGTTAGGAAGAACTCAATTGTTCTGACCTCAACCCTACTGAACACCTTTGCGATGAATCGAAACACTGATTGTGAGCCAGGTCTTCCCATCCAACATCAGTACCTGACCTCACAAATGTTCTTGTGGCTGAACAGTCACAAGTGCCCACAGACAGACTGCAAAATCTTGTGGAAAGCCTTCTAAGAAGAGTGGAGGATGTTGTAGCCAGGGGTGGACTGACAAGTTATGGGGCCCCCGGGCAATAGGGGATCATGGGTCCCCTGTGTCCTTGCCCAAACTAAAAAAAAGCCTATGAAAAAGGTACCAGGGGCATCTCATGGGGCCCCCTACTGACCCCGGGCCCTCGGGCAGTGCCCGAGTTTCCAAATGGTCAGTCCGCCCCTGATTGTAGCTACAAAGGCGACTCCAACTCCTTATGAATGGCCATGGTTCTGGAGTGGAATGTCCAAGAAGCTCTTAGAGGTGCGATGGGTCAGGTATGACAACCCTTTGGGTATATAGCCTGAAAATGGACAGAAATGACAACCTTTTCTTACTATACAAAAAAAAAATGGCTGGAGTTAGTTTTTGTATTTATCAGTATGTGTTACCCGTTGTGTTTTATTTTTAATAATGGCTCAAAAACTTCAATATCAATAACTCCAGGCTTTGTCTAAAGATATGAAATCAGCTTTTGAGACGAGGTTCGCTTGGGCCTCGAGATTATTTGAATTACAGATAGATTGCCCCGTTCTCTCTTGGATCACTCACATCGACTTCACAATGGCCCCCTATCCTTCACATCTCCAGCATTTCGAGACGGATCTGCGCCTGAAACTCATCCTTACCCACAACGTCGTCCTGCTAGAATTTTATATTCACCGTTTAATGGTCACGTGGCGTATAACAAATTCTCTCCAGCGTCATCCAAGGTCAGGCGTCTGAACAATAGAATCGCAAACACAACTGAAGATATTTATCTGGGAGGGTATTTGAAAAATTCGACAGCTTTTTAGCATTGAGAAGAACAAAAAAAAAATTCCTTTTTATTTATGTAGTTTCTGTTTGAATGTGAAATTCGATATCAAAACAAATATAAAAGCCGCCGACTGTGGAGGGCGTTCAATGAAAACCATCGTACAGATTCAAAAGGAAGAGATAGTATTGCAATGTAATGTTTACCCAAAAGTCACTTCTGATGTGACATTCACAATTTTACGCGCCGAATGAATGTTCCGCGTTTATGGAACTGCCTTTGATATTTATATCGGTAGAAATTCTGTCTCTTATACTGAGTATATATATATATATATATATATATATATATATATTATAGGGTGTGTTAGTTCCGGCGTTAGGCTGAACTGTTGAGATAACACCATTTAGGGTGTACATCAGCACTTTAGGTGCCATTTGAAACGGTTGCAAACCTCTGCAACGAAAAATGAACAAAGCATTTACTTCCATAGTGTGCATCTGCCTTGATCCAAAGCTCTTAGTGTCATCTCTGTCCCTTCTCTCATTCCTCTACTGTTTGCATGAGTCACTTCTCATACTTTATGGTGACACTAAGCTATCCCGGGAGACACCCCCCAGCCCCAGCACACAGCAGGTGATTGATATCCTCAAATGTGCATGCTACTCAGTGAGGCTGTGTATAGGGTGGTGGGTGTGTCCATTGCACTCAGGTCTTGGATTACACTCAGCTCCCTGCTCTCAACTGTATAGTGTGGAACATCAGATCCCGTCCCCTGCCTGCTGGAGCTGAGAGATAGCCTTTAATCTGTGTACTTTAGGAGGCTGTAGAGGAGAGAGGGCTGCAGATAAACATGTAAAACTTTTGTAGGAAGATTTGTTTCATCTCTGTGTATCACTGAGGTTAGTCACTTCAGGAGATAATGTACAGTAAGGGCTCTTTCACACTGCCCCCCTTCTAAAACCGCGATTTGAATGCATTGCGGTAAAATTTAGTGCAACAAATATGCAATGAATAGCTGGTTGTTAAGGGCATCAGTTGGGTGCTTGCTTTACCATTCACTGGTTGTTAAGCAGCTGGCACCTGGCAGCTTCCTAAACAACCAGCTATTCAATGGTTGTTAAGGACCCTGATGGGTGTCAGCTCCTTAACAGTCAGTGAATAATGGAAATAGCATCCGTCGGCTTCCTTAACAACCAGTGATTGGCAGGTTTTTAAGGATGCAGGCAGGTGTCGGCTCCTTAACAATCAGCTATTCTCCGGTTGTTAAGGACACTTCCCATTGCCAGCTCCTTGACAACAAGTGAATAATCGAACAGGCATCCGCCAACATCCCTAACAACTAGTGAGTAAGGATGCTGTTGGGTGTCGGCTCCTTAACAGCCAGCTATTCACTGGTTGTTAAGGACACTGGTGGGTGCTGGCTCTACTATTCACTGGTTGTTAAGGACACTGGTAGGTGCTGGCTCTACTATTCACTGGTTGTTAAGGACACTGGTGGGTGCTGGCTCTACTATTCACTGGTTGTTAAGGACACTGGCAGGTGCTGCCTCTACTATTCACTGGTTGTTAAGGACACTGGTGGGTGCTGGCTCTACTATTCACTGGTTGTTAAGGATACTGGGGGGTGCTGGCTCTACTATTCACTGGTTGTTAAAGATGCTGGCGGGTGCCGGCTCCACTATTCACTGGTTGCTAAGGACACTGGTGGGTGCTGGCTCTACTATTCACTGGTTGTTAAGGAAACTGGCAGGTGCTGGCTCTACTATTCACTGGTTGTTAAGGACACTGGGGGGTGCCGGCTCCACTATTCACTGGTTGTTAAGGACACTGGGGGGTGCTGGCTCTACTATTCACTGGTTGTTAAGGATGCTAGCAGGTGCTGGCCCCACTATTCACTGGTTGTTAAGGATGCCGGCTGGTACCAGCTCCTTAACAACCAGCATCTTTTTAACAAAAATTGTCATGTGACCCCCAAAAATGCACCCAGGTGCATTTTGGTCCATTTTTGGTGAGTCTTTATTGACTCAAAATAGAAGGTTCATTCTTTGTGTACTTTTGAAAGATGCACCAGAGATGCAGCATGCAAGACCGTTTTCAAACCGTAGCACAGCGATGTAAAAAAGTCACATAGGATTTAAAGGGGAATAATTTTGATGCGCTTTTGTCATGCTGGAAAGGTGCTTTCTAGCCCAGCAAAAGCGTACCAGTGTGAAAGTCCACTCAATCATACACTATATTGCCCCAAGTATTGTAACCGCCGCCCTTGTATATACATTATATTGCCCCAAGTATTGGGCCGCCGGCCTTTCCACACACATGACCTTTCATGGCCCCCCAGTCTTAGTCCGTAGGGTTCAATATTGAGTTTTGGCCCCGCCCTTTCCACACACATGACCTTCCCACAAAGTTGGGAGCATGAAATTGTCCAAAATGTTTTGGTATGTTGACGCCTTAAGAGTTCCTTTCACTGGAACTAGGGGGCCAAGCCCAACCCCTGAAAAACAACTCCACACCCTAATCCCTCCTCCATTAAACTTTACACTTGGCACAATGCAGTCAGTCAAGTACTATTCTCCTGGCAACCGCCAAACCTGTACATGTCCATTGGATTGCCAGACATAGAAGCGTGATTGGTCACTCCAGAGACCACGTCTCCACTGCTCTAGAGTCCAGTGGCGGTGTGCTTTACACCACGGCATCCGACGCTTTGCATTGCACTTGGTGATGGAAGGCTTGGATGCAGCTGCTCGGCCATGGAAACCCATTCCATGAAGCTCTCTACGCACTGTTGTTGGACTCATCTGAAGGCCACACCAAGTTTGGAGGTCTTTAGCTATTGACTCTGCAGACAGTTGGCGAATTCTGCGCACTGTGCGCTTCAGCATGCGCTGACCCCGCCCTGTCATGTGACGTGGCCTACCACTTGGTGGCTGAGTGGCTGTTGTTCCCAGTTGCTTCCACTTTGTTATAATCCCACTAACAGTTGAGCGTGGAATATTTAGTAGCCAGGAAATGTCACGGATGGACTTATTGCCCAGGTGGCCACCTATCACGGGACCACGCTTGGAGTCACTGAGCTCCTGAGAGCGACCCATTCTTTCACCAATGTTTGTAGAAGCAGTCTGCATGCCTAGGGGCTTGATTGTATACACCTGTGTCCATGGAGGGGATTGGAGCACCTGAATCACATGATTGGGAGGGGATTGGAACACCTGAATCACATGATTGGGAGGGGATTGGAACACCTGAATCACATGATTGGGAGGGGATTGGAACACCTGAATCACATGATTTGGAGGGGATTGGAACACCTGAATCACATGATTGGGAGGGGATTGGAACACCTGAATCACATGATTGGGAGGGGATTGGAACACCTGAATCACATGATTGGGAGGGGATTGGAACACCTGAATCACATGATTGGGAGGGGATTGGAACACCTGAATCACATGATTGGGAGGGGATTGGAACACCTGAATCACATGATTTGGAGGGGATTGGAACACCTGAATCACATGATATGGAGGGGATTGGAACACCTGAATCACATGATTGGGAGAGGATTGGAACACCTGAATCACATGATTGGGAGGGGATTGGAACACCTGAATCACATGATTGGGAGGGGATTGGAACACCTGAATCACATGATATGCAGGGGATTGGAACACCTGAATCACATGATTTGGAGGGGATTGGAACACCTGAATCACATGATATGCAGGGGATTGGAACACCTGAGTCACATGATTTGGAGGGCGGGCCCAATACTTTTGGCAATATTATTATTATTATACAGGATTTATGGCACCAACAGTTTGCTCAGCGCACTTTACAATATAACGGGAGACAATACAGCAACAATACAGATCAATACTAGAGGGATAGGAGGCCCTGATCCTGGGAGCTTACAATCTAGGCGTATGGTGTATCTAGAGTTCGCCTTTATACTCTGATTGAACATCGCACCGCCTATTGCAATCTCCTATTTTTAGTCATCCTCTAACTTGTGTAATAAAACATACTAAGAGCTGTAATGTAAGTTGATTTCTGATTGGCCGCTAATGCATTTCTGCACTTTGCACATTGCCGCTGCGCCGTTTCCATTACCTTGATAAATACGCCGCATTGTCTCCTCCGTCGCCGACGTTCCCAGTGGCGGCTCTTCAATACTCCATCTCTCTTTTTTTTTTTTCCATGCAGATATTAATATTAATATGTTGGCCATGTCCAATAAATCATTCCAGCCATTACTGGGCTCCCGTCTGGAATGACGTCTCCTATACACTCCATTTCCATTGCTTAAGGAGGGCCTCCACCTCTGCCTCTGCGACACCTCCCCAGCTACCTTTTAATGTGGAGATAATACCGGCATTGCGATGGCAGAGCAAATGATTTGAATATTTTACCATATGAATATTACCGGGCTTTTCACAGAACTCAATGGCCCGTTCACTTCTATTACAGCGGGAAATGGGAGATCATTAAAGATCTTGCCGTGTGTTTGTCTGATGAAAATACATTTTTAATTCACTGGAAGCATACAAATGATATATATATATATGACAAGAAAATAAAAATGGGGTCCCTTACATGTAACAATCTGTCTTCAAAGTATATCTAATCCTAAATAGCAAAATATTTCCACTCACCAGTCTTCAGATGTGGACTGCATTCGTTTTCTTTTTTTTCTCTTGGTGATCCTGCCAGTAACACACTTCCTGTTCTAGGGTGACAACGCTCACTGTCCTCTACCTATAGAGGAGCAGCGTTGTCACCCTAGAACAGGAACTGTGTTAGGACCAGGGGTGGACTGACCATTTAAAAACTCGGGCACTGCCCGAGGGTCCGGGGTCAGTAGGGGGCCCCATGAGATGCCCCTGGTACCTTTTTCATAGGCTTTTTTGAGTTTGGGCAAGGACACAGGGGCCCTATTATCCCCTATTGCCCGGGGGCCCCATGAATTGTCAGTCCACCCCTGGTTAGGACCATTGAGCACCTCCCCCTCTCCTCTTTTCCATAACAGGGGAGGGGTTTGTTCTGGAGTCCTCACAAAACTCTTGGTAACATTGTTTGAGATTGTAGCGCTACTCCCGGCAGGAGCCGCATGGTATGAGGGGTTCTCTGTTCTGCCAGGACTCTTTGAGCTCCTTGGTCCCCACTGACACCACTCCTGGTATGCGGTGGATCCGGACCTAGAAAGCTCGGTCCTCGCAATCAGGTTCTGTCTGATGTGGGCACTCGTGGCAGCGAGTCTCCCCCAGCTCGGGTCCCAAAACACAGCGACTGTCTGTGGCTCAGTCTTTCAGCTCCCTGGGTGCTCAGAAAAGCTCAGTCTCACATTGGTGCAAGCACACCACACACAGATCCAATGCCTGCCCAGCTCTGCTAACCGCACACAGGCACCAGGCGTACCTCAGTCCCCGCAACAGGTCTGTCCTCCCTCTGGGGCGGGACTTGTAGTTTGCAGCTCATTCATTTGTATATTACAGAGTTCCCTGGGGGACTACATGTCCCATGATCCCAGGGTCAAATGTCATCATTTAAGAGGGAAGGAGTGAGTGGGAGTGGGGTGAGGAGAAGTGGAGAGTGGGGTGGGGGTCAGTCTGCTCTGTCACTGAAGGGGGGAAGGGTAAGCACACAGCCGGGACACACAGCAAGGGAGGGGGGAAGTGGAGAGCGAGAGGAAAGGCGGGGCACAACCTGATTCTGTCACTGAATGGGGGGGGGGGGGGGGGGGGGGGGGGCAGGGGGACCACACAGTGTAGTGACCAGGACAATGGATATCTAGCAAGATCGGGTAGAAGATCCTGGGAGGGGGGGGAGCGGGGGATCCACACAGCCGGCAGCTCCCAGCTACAAGATTACATGCAGAGTGTTCAGGACAACAGATATCTAGCAGGATCATGTAGATCCTTGGGGGGGGGGGGGGGGGGGGGCAGGGGATAAACACACAGCCAGCAGCAGCACCCAGCTACAAGATTACATACAGTGTGCACAGGACAACCATGGATATCTAGCAGGAGCAGGTAGATCCTGAGGTGGGGGTGAGCGGGGGGATACACACAGCCGGTAGCAGCACCCAGCTACAAGATTACATACAGAGTGCACAGGACAACAATGGATATCTAGCAGAATCAGGTAGATCCTGGGAGGGTGGGGGGGGGGGATCCACACACAGCAGCAGCAGCACCCGGCTACAAGATTACATGCAGAATGCACAGGACAACAATGGATATCTAGCAGGATCAGCTGGATCCAGGGGAGGGTGGGGAGCGGGGGGATCCACACAGTCAGCAGCAGCACCCGGCTACAAGATTACATGCAGAATGCACAGGACAACAATGGATATCTAGCAGGATCAGCTGGATCCAGGGGAGGGTGGGGAGCGGGGGGGGATCCACACAGCCAGCAGCAGCACCCCGGCTACAAGATTACATGCAGGGTGCACAGGACAACAGATATCTAGCAGAATGAGGTATCAGCCTGGGAGGGGGGATCCACAATCAGATAGCAGCTAAAATTCTTAATCAAAGATTGCATGCAGGGTGCCTGGACAACAATGGATATCTAGAGTCAGATGGATCCGGGGGGGGGGGGGATCCACACAGCCAGCAACACCCGGCTACAAGAATTACATGCAGGGTGCTTAGTCATCAATGGATCCCCCCAAGATCAGCAAGAACAATCAGTGATCACTAAATTCTAATCAACTATGCTGAGCCTGATAAGATGTCATGTCTTCTGCAGGCAGGAATATGCATTTCCTTAGTCTCCCCCCCCCCCCCAGTGATCCCTCAAACTTTACATTGTGCTAAGAAGGAGTATGCTAATAGGAGGAGGAGCAGAGTGACAGAGAGTTGATCCTTATCAGTGTTGCTTCTCCCTCATGGTCAACTGCAGCAGAGCAAAATCAGCTCTGTGTTGTGTAGCAGAGCTGTGTAAATCTCAGAGAAGGATGGACAGAAATCCAAAAGCTCTGGTAGTTAAAACAGCTGCCTTAGAAGTATCTCCTCTGTGAATTTTGCTGCTGGCCTGGAGTTCAAATTTAAAAAAATAAATTTGATCAAAAGCTCATTATAATTTCACTTGCACATCAAAACCGGGATGGCTGGGCTCGTGTTTCTTCTGACGCCTGCTAAGAATAAGGAGCGCATTTAGTAAATAATACAACAGAAAGCTCCTGGCTTTCATTTCTTCCACGCCGCTGGATTCTACACAGCTGGCATTTAGCGCCTACAACACAAGTCAATTATTAATCGGGTTTAATAGAGATTTACAATTTATAAACATGAATTTAGCAGCGAAAGGAGAACTTCCGTCAGGATTTATTACCATGAAAAGGGAACTCTGCAACATTGATGCCAAAACATGGACTGAGGAGCAGCCATTGTTGGATGGAACTAGGTTGTCCATTGTGGCTAGTTTGTGGATGGAACAAGGCCTGACGTAGGGGCAGTGACGTGGTGTAGGGGAGGGCCTCGGGGGCGGTTGCCCTGGGCACAACATTTTTATATAGGCACAACATTAGAAAGGATTTGGGGGTGAGATAGGCAGGAAATTAGTCCGGGCGCACTCCTGTTCTGGTCCTTTCAGTGGCACACCCCCCTCTCTCTCTCCTTAGGATGTGTGGGCGGGTCCAATTTGTCAGTTCTTGGTTAAAGTGGGCGGAGTTGGTGAAGTGAGCGGAGTTGAGGTGAGCAAGAGGTGCAGTTGAGGGTGGCTCTGATCTCTCCCCTCCTCTCCTCTCCCCTTCCCCTCTCTTCTCTTCTCTCCCCATCCCTCTCCTCTCCTCTCCCCTCCCCTCCTCTCCTCTCCCCTTCCCTCTCCTCTCTCCCCTCCCCCTCCTCTCCCATTCCCTCTCCTCTTCTCTTCTCTCCCCTCCCCTCCCCTCCCTCCTCTCTCCTCTCCCCTTCCCTCTCTTCTCTCCTCTCCCCTTCCCTCACCCTCACCTCTCCCCTCCTCACTCTCTTCTTCCTCCTCTCCCCCCCCCTTCCCCTCCCCTCCTCTCCTCTCCTCTCCCCTCCCTCACCTCTTCCCCTCTCCACTTCCCTCTCCTCTTCCCCACACCCCCCTCTTCTCTTCTTTTCTCCTCGCCCCTCCTCTCCCCCTCCTCTCCTCTCCCCCTTCCCCTCTCCTCGCCTCTCCCCTCCCCTCCCCCTCCTCTCCTCTCAACTTCACTCCTTCTTCTCTCCCCTCCCCCTCCTCTACTCTCCCCTTCCCTGTCCTCTTCTCTCTTCTCTTCTCCTCTCTCGCCTTCCCTCTCCTCTCCTCCCCTCTCCTCTTCCTTCACTTCTACTCTCCTCTCCCCTCTCCTCTTCTCTCCTCTCCTCTCCCGTTCCCTCTCGTTCCCTCTCCTCTCCTCTCCCCTCCTTTCCCCTTCCCTTCCCTCTCCTCTGCTCTCCGCTCCCCTTCCCTCTCCTCTCCTCTCCCCTTCCCTCTCCTCTCCTCTCCCTCACCTCTCCTCTCCCCTTTTCTCCTCTCCTCTTCTCTACTCTCCTCTCCCCTCTTCTTCTCCTCTCCTCTCCCCTTCCCTCTCCTCTTCCCTCACCTCTCCTCTCCTCTCCTCTACTCTCTACTCCCCTCCCTCTCTCTCCCTCCTCTCCCTCTCTCCTCTCCTCCCCCCTCCCCTCTCCTCCCTCTCATTCCCCTTCCTTTCCCTCCCCTCTCTCCTCTCTCCTTTCTCCTCCCCTCCTCTCCTCTCCTCTCCCCTCCCCTCTCCTTTCCCTCTGCTCCCTCCTCTCCTCTCCCTCTCCTCTGCTCCTCTCTCCTCTCCTCTCCCCTCTCCTCTCTCCTCTCCTCTC